AGCTATTATATAATTAGGATTTTGAGATATCAATATATGTGTGTACATACACATGGTGTACAAATAGCAATCGTCAAAAATAAAATAGAAATAAATAAAAATAAAAATAAAAATAAAAAATTTTATAAGTTATCTAATATCACAGTTGCTATCTTGAAATAAATCGCGTGATTTATCAATTTTCAATAACGTCACGAGATTAAAAATTTTATTATTACAAAATTTTATTATTAGCAACAGTATTATTAATAATCTATACTACAGTACTAGAAATAATTTTTTAAATTTTGAATGTTATATAGTTAAGAGATGATACCACCACTGTCTTCGTGCATGTCATTATCACTACACGTCCAAGTCTCATCTCTATTACTTGGAGTACTTGTAGATTGATACCAAAGAGAACTATCAGTTTCTCCCATACATTCAGCGATTGTCATAAGTTTAAGCCCTTTATCCAAAAAAAGTTGAATCCCTTGAGGACCAAGTTGTTCGCAAGTTGTTTGTACGGTATCATGATTTAACATAATATGAGATGATGGAGGACCAGGGGCAGATGTATACTTTTCTATACCATATTCTACGGGATCACCCAGGGAATCGCCAATATCTATATCCCAAAGTACAATAGTGTATCCAAGACTTCCAATTGTATTGAGCACTTCATCATTATATGAACCAAAAGGAGGACGGAAATATCTTGGAACCAATCCGATAATCTTTTTAAATGCTCTTTCAAGTGAAACAATTTGATAAATGACTTCATCATTATTAACCATTGTCAAATCGGGATGAGACCAAGTGTGAGAACCAATTTGATGACCTTCTTGATGAATACGTATTATAATGTCGGCATAATCATATATACAATTAACGTTATCACCATTAATGAAGAATGTAGCTGTTATACTTTTCTCTTTAAGAAAGTCTAATAACTCGTGAGTCCACTATTGGAAAAAAATAAATGATTAATTCTAAAAGTTCTAAAGTTCTAAAAGGATAAATTCCAAAAAAGATTACTCTACTTGCCATAGATGGGCCATCATCAAAAGTAATAGCAGCGGTTCCCTCGATTGCGCAATTAGTGATGATTTGTCCTGGTGAAACTTCTGTACTCAAGACTGTAGGTGACCAAATGATGAACGATAAAGCTAGTAACGAAGCGATAAATGATTTACACAATTTTTTTTTTTGATAGATTTTATTGACTTAAACTGTAAATTTATTTGTTTTGGATAATCTTAAATCATTTAATCAAAAAAGCGGTCAATTTGTTAAGAATTTTTTTTAATTTTTTACTTTTTTAAGAATTTTAGCTGGACTTTTATCTTTTTTTTCGAAATATCTTTGTCATCACTACCGAATGTATTGTAACTTAAATTAGGCACTTAGTCACTTTGTTAACTATGCATATTATATCCTGGTTCTACGTAGACTAAATTATGTATTTAGTAAAAGGGTGCTTTGATTATTTTAAAGAATTAGATTAAAAAGGAGTTAAATTTAAATTTTATTTGTATTATCTTATATTTAATTTCGAATTGCATGAGAATCCGTACGATACGTACGTACGTACATACACTCAACTCTATATTTCTATCTTTGATAGAATTTTTCATTTTCAATGCCTTCAGGGCGATGCACAGAAGACAGAATCCTTAAAATTTTACGAAATTTGCTTTGGGTTTCTATATAAAAGTTGTCAGTGCCCATTTTTACGTACGTATAAGTATTCTAACCCTAACCAAAAGTTAACTTTAACTCAAACTTTAAATTTTTAATATTTTAAAAAATAACGTAGAGGCAATGTTACGGTTATAATATTTAAATAATTTAGAAATTATTATTAGAAGAAAAAACTCCATTTCGCTTACTCAATTATGTATTCACATGAATATTCAACAGGAGTGCATGTAATATCAATTTAAGCTTACAAATCTTAGATTCTTGAATTGAATTTCAGGGCTTTTTCAGCGTTTAGTACAGTACGTACGTACAAACAAGTATTTACTAATTTACAATATCGACAAGGTTGGAAAACAATATGTTATTATTCAACTCGGTACAAATTTAGTGAATGCTATAAAACATATTCAATATATCATAAATTTTTTAATATTCTTTTCTTAATTTAGCTGATATTATGTTTTAGATAAATGTTAACCATCTCTTTTAAAAACACAATACGCAAAATTGAGCTTTGAAGCAACGTCTCATGTAGAAACACTAATAAAAGACTGGTAACGAATTACTACATTCACCTCAAGAACGTGTAGTTTATAAATAATTTTCTCTCCTTTTATCCCTATTTAGATAAACTAGATATTAAAATGTTTTAAAAATTGTGACGTTTGGCTTTCTAGGTCGAAATTTAAATAAAATCTACCTTTTGATCAAACGTATATTTTTAATAAATTCGTAATTACTATCTTTATATGTAGTTATAAACGTCATCGGTTATTAAGTAATACGTAACAAAAATAATAACCTTGCATTACTATATTTATTATCGTGATCTTAGAAAGTAGGGATTTATTTAATTTGCTCCTAGCATATGGATATTCGATCCGAGTAAATCTAAATTATTACCAACCTTTTTTTTTAATAAAAATAAAATATGCATTTAAATTCTTTGAAACATGCTTTATGATGTAACTGAGCCAAACCAGTTCAAAAAAAACCGTTAATGACATTTCAATTTTTATGATACCAATCTGGCCTTTACAACTGAGCATGTTACAAGGAATTCTAAGAATGTATATATTTTCATATATATATGTCGGAATGGAATTGTTGTAGATTAGAATCCACCTAGGTTGATTCCGAGATTGTAATAACGGTGTCGAAGCTTATACCCGACAATCACGTGAAATATTTCATGACTGCCACACAAAAAATGCGCAGCAGATCCTCGATTTTTTGATTGGCTAAGAGCGACAATCAAAAAATTATGCCGGATATTTTTACTAATGAAATCGCAGACGCCCATTAAGTGAAAATTGTTCCTGGGCCAATTTTACCACAATATGGGCTTATTTTTTAAAAATTTCTATTTATGTAATGAAAAAATCAAAAGTTTAATTCCGGCCGGAAATTAGTAAACAATTATGTAATGCTGTAATGCGGGCCAAAATTTCGTGCAGTTAGACTAGTGTTCTGCACGGTCCGGGTTTTGTGCAAAACCGAATTCGACCCGAAAAATAGACTTAGACCCGGAACCGAACCGGAGCCCGATAGTATCGCATCTCACTATATCAACCCTTGGCTATGACGACCAAATAGACAAGCTACCGAGTCGGTGTCAATAAGTTGAAACTTATCGATTCGGTTATTGTTAATTTACAAGAAAAAAAAATACTATTCTCTTAAGAGTCCATAGCATTTTTGCACTGAGCTAATAAACGACACTGTATATAAACTTTGAGTTCGTTATATCTAGAGTTGACTGAGTAGCTCATTTTAATACACCAGTTAGTAAAAGATCTTTACACCCATCGACTAAGTTAATACGAATAAAAACCGAAACTTATGAGATATGGTGTAATATATAGTAAATGCTACGAATTAAAATTTGCCTCATAGTTTAGGCAGAACTTTGGCCCAAAATTTTGAGAATGATATTAAGGCCAGTTGGGTTAAACAGATTGACATGGCAACAATTGAACATTTTTTACTTTGATCTATAATTCTATTCGGTAAAGATCAGGTGATTAAATATATACGGGTCTATGCGAGTCCTACCGGGCAGTGGTGTCAATGGACATGGACCCATGGACGTGGACGTACTGTGGACGTCCATGTCCATGGACATATAAAAAATATGGACATGTCCATGTCCAAATTATGGACATGGACATTGGACATTGTTATGGACTGTCCATGGACTGTCCATGTCCAACACTGAGTATTGCCACCAACAAATTTTTATGATAAAAAATTTTTATTTCTTTGAATATCATAATACAATATTTTCTAAATAGAACACATAACTTTATTCATCTTGTCGAATTATGAAACCAAAAACTGCATTTCAAAAAAATAATAAATCATGTTTTTAAAGTATACAACCCGTACAATCCGTGAAAAGAAAACAAAAGACAGAAACGTAAAGATCAAATTTTAAGTGATATTCGCAAGCAAAAGAAAATGCTATAAAGTCTGAAGAACTTGAATATATAGTTTATGAAAATTTTATAGATTTTGAAGGAGAAAGCAATGCTTTCATAGCATATTCAAATCCTCTTTCTTAACACCAATGCCATGTCGATAATCGTAGCCAAGCGAGCGAAGTTGTTCAAAGTTCATTTTTTTAAAGAAGGAAAAAAAAATCATGCACCAAATAAGATACAGACTTTAGTTGCCTGAATCGTATTGGAGATCATATGTATATGGATCTTGAGATAGTTGTAGATATTTAATAACTGTGTTTTAATTAATTTTGGATCAATTTTGGATCGTTAGCCATTTGTGTATAGTAATGCGTAGAGTACAGAAACCCAGAAGCTCTACTACCACAAGTGTTATGTTAAATGTATTTAGGGAACAGGCGAAGACTAAAGAAAAGTTTTTAAGATTCCTAAACAGTTAACAAATTAGAAGCAAATAACATAGATGAAGCTTTTTCAAGTTTATTGTTATCATATTATGGTTTAAAATTTCTAAATCTAATATTATCTTAATTTAGATACAATACAGTAAACAAACGTTATCGTTAATTAAAAAATTACATATACCAGAATCTATAAATTAAACGGTCATTAAAAATTTTTATCACTTAAAAAATCCGATATATTATATTAATTAATACTTTGCAGATGAATTCATTGGTTTAGAAAGGTTTTTGAATTTAAGCAATTTACTTGTAAGTTTATCTTTAGAACAATTTAGAAATTTGGTTGATAACATTGGAATAATTGTATCTGCTGATTGGAATACTTTTAATATTGCTAATTTATTTTTATCTTTTGCTATACCTAGTGTTGTGGGAGAAATCCATTTCCAAATCCGAAAGGCGAAACCAAAATGCTCCCAAAGGCGAAATAAAACTGAAATTTCTGAAATTTCTGAAATGGGCATAATGGGAAAACTTCTGAAATCTGGCAAAACCTCTGAAACCCGGCAATACTGAAATGGTAAAATTCTCTGAAATATTTTCAATAAAAAAAGTTTGGTGCAGCTCTTCTTTTTTTTGAATTTTTTAAATCTTTGAATGAAGTTATCTCAACACTCACCAAGTCAAATTTTGATAAACTTTTTTTATTTGAATTCTACGAATCTGTAGAATTCAAAAAAAAAAAAGTTTATTGAATTTGTCTTAGTGGGTGTCGAGATATCTTCACTCAAAGTTTAAAAAAAAGTTTGGTGCAGCTCTTGATAATAACCATAGCTGAGTGTCACTAGGGTTGAAAATTACATTTTACAATTTTACAATACATGTAATTTTACATAATTTCAGTAATCAAATTTCATGTAACTTATATATCTTACAAAAGCTCAGCTAGCATTATTGCATAATTTGATTTATTTAATTTGTAACTCTTCAATCGCTAAAAATTTTGATCTCAGTAAGTAAAAATCATATGAATTACAAATTATATAAAAACTATATTACTGTAAACTTACACAAAATTATGCAAAATTACGTAATTTTACAACTCTAAGTGTCACAGCAGATCCTCAAATTTGATTGGCTAACAGCCGAGGATCTTCGAAATTTTGGCCCGCATTACATAATTGTTTACTAATTTCTGGCTGGAATTAACTTATTAATTTTTCTTTACAAAAACAGAAATTTTTTAAAATTGGTCTAGAAACAATTTTCACTTAATAGGCGGCTGTAATTTTATTAGTAAAATTACGAGTTAGGGGGCATCCATAAATAATGTTATGCTTGAGGGGGGGTACGGGTCCCCCAAAATATAACAAATTTTCAATATTTAGAGGGGGTCCCCCAAAATATAACACAATTTTTTTATAAAAATTTGTCTAAATCTTGATTCAGTAATTCGATTTGGATGACTTTGGTACCATTTGAATCGTCTCGAGAAAAGGATTTGAATGATACCAAAATCATTTGATTTTGATCACTAGATTACGTTTTATTAACAAAATATTATTGGTTATTATGTTTTCTTATAAAATTACTATAAAATCAATAGTATTTCATTAATAAAACGTTATCCAGAGGTCTAAATAAAATAATTTTGGTACCATTGGATTCATCTCATAGAAACGAATCGAATGGTACTAAAATCATTCTAATTGGATCATAATATATCCAAGTTTTTGTAAAATTTTATATATAAATATATGGATTTTTAAATTTTTTTTATATAGTCTAGAGGGGGTCAAGAGCTACTGTGTAGGGGTATATAACATTATTTATGGATGCCCCTTATTATAGCCTAATTTTTAATCATTGCTTTTAGCTAATTAAAATTAAAAATCTACCATGACAATTTTATTACAATTCTTTTTGATAGATAGTTTGAATTTTTTAAGGTATCTCAATATTTACCAAGTCAAATTTGATAAACTTTTTTTTTATTTTTTATTTTTTAATAATTTAGCAGTCATGCCTTAACTTTATTAGGCTTTGTACAACTCATCTAGAATATGTAAAATTTTACAACCAAGTATTTTAGAAAGTAAGTGATAAACTCTAAACTTGTTAGCAGATAGCGTATGAGAACTATTTCTAAACAACAAATGCT